GACAGCCTGACTACTCTTAGTACTGCTACTATCATCTTTTATCTTTGTCTTATATTAAAGGTAAATAATTGAAATTGATTTTGCTTGTGAAAATTATAAGAACAGTTCAATGGTAATTCATTAAATTTCTTTAATAGATAATAACAGAATCTGTGCAGCACATTTTTGCTGGAGATTGGTATGAGCATGTATATTATTGGAAACCTTCTGGTATACTTCAATGTGTACCTATTTTTTCTATGGCTTTATTCTGTCAAACCCAACTTTTTTGAAATTTATGAAACAATTCCAAATGTGTCCTTAGAAAAAATGAATGAAGTTGTACATGGTGCATTAAATATATGTACTATTGTATATCTTTGTGTTGGTTTCTTTGGTTACATTGCATTTTGTACAGAACCATTTACAGGTATTTATTAATTTTAAATGTATTTTCAATATTTTATTCAATACTAATTAAAAATTATTAAATTTTTTAGGCAATATATTAATGAGTTTTGAACCTAGTTTATCATCTGAAATGATTAAGATGGGATTTGTATTTTCTATCGCATTTAGTTTTCCCCTAGTCATTTTCCCTTGTCGTGCAAGTCTGAACTCTCTCTTATTTCGTAGGGTTTGTATTGTAATATATAGTAATAATGAAATAATAAATTTAATTATTATATGATTTTTAGGTATATGCTCATGAACCTTGTGTAAATTATTTGCCAGAAACAAGATTTAGATGTCTTACTATTATAATTGTAGCTGTTTCTTTGATTACTGGCATTCTAATACCAAATATTGAATTTGTCCTTGGTTTAGTTGGATCTACCATTGGAGTAATGATTTGTTTGATATTTCCTGCAATATTTTTTATATCTATTAGTAGTAAACATACTAATGAAAGATTATTAGCTCAAGTAAGATTATTAAGATTATTATTATTAAATATATACAAATTTTAATTGTTTTATTATTTAATTATAATATTTTCTTTTTAATATATTTTTCTATCTAGATAATCCTATTTATTGGTATCTGTATTATGATTCTAAGTACATATGCAAATTTGTATGCATTAGAAGAATCTACTAGCAATACAAAAATATTAACAACAAACAAGCCTTCTAATCAAATAAATAATTTACCATTAAATTTAAATAAAGATGATATTAATGTAATAGCAAATATTCCAAATAATCCTAAAATTCTTCCAAATATTAAAGGTATTATAAAATTATTTATTTTCTGATCTTATAATTTTATATAGATATTTATTATTAATTTAAAAATAAATAATAATTAAAATAGTAATATATTATTGTTATTAAATAATAAAAATAATTATATTAATAATTTTTAGAGGAAATGAATAAATTGCCAGACTTAAATATTATTAAGAATTCTTTAAATTTACAAGCAAACGATATGCGACAAGAACCACCGATACCAGTTGAACGTATAATTATTACAGAAAAACCAATGATAGAAACACAAAAATCTGTTGATAATATATTAGTTACTTTTGCTCCAGTCATTAAAAAAAACTTAGAAAAAGTAAAAGATACAAAAATAGATACAAATTTTGATAAACAATTAAATAATTTAGTAAAAAATGACATAACAACAATAGAATCTGATATTGAAAATAAAAAAGTAAGCAATTTAATGAAAATAAAAAAAAATTTTATTAGTACAAAAAAACAAGATAATCTTATAAATTTTGATGCAATTAAAAAAGAAGAGTCAGAATTAGCAGCTTATGTAGAGGATGTTAATATGTTATCTGTTGAGAGACAAGAAAAACAAAAGCAGAAAATTATACAAATCAAACAGGAATATGAAAAAAATGAAGATAAATCAAAAACTCTTAATGAAAAGCCTGTTATGGAACTAGATAAAAATTCTACAATTATAACTAACAGTTTCAAAAAGAAATCTTTAGAAAAACTGAAAGAAGATATTAATGATAAAATTCTTGATTCAGTTCTTTTGAACAATAAAAACATATATAAAAAAAAGATACAAATATGAATTATACGTTACTTGATAATAAATTAAATAATGAAAAAATTAAAGAAATAAGTTCTAATAATTCAAAAGAATTACATAAAGGGCCTATTTTGAATGCTTTAACAAAACGAGTATTGCAAAGATCTATTTCTATTAATGATACTAAATTAAATGATAAAACTGAACCTGATAAAATTATGCATAATAATAAAGATAATTCTAGTGATATGATTCTTAATTCACGAGAAAAAATAGAAAATGAATATTTCTTACCAATTGCGTTAAAAATGCGAAATCAAACAAAAGTAGAGAATACGTTAAATCCAATAGAGCATAAGTCTGATAAAGATGTGCAAATAATTCATAGAGATATTTTAGAAAATCATGAACGTGAAAAGCGAGAAATTAATATAGAAATAGAAGAAACTAGTACCAAAGTTACGAGTGATATTTCAAATAAAAAATCTGATAATTTAATAAAAAATTTCATTATTAAAGATAATGAGAAATGTTGTAAACGAAAAAAAAATTAGAAGAAAATTTGACGAGCAAATTAAGGGAAAAAATAAGTCAGAACTCATCTAAAAGTAACACAATTGAAATATCATTGATTAAAACTAATGCATATTTGTCAGATTACAGATTTGAAAATGCACTTTCAATAGATTCAAATATTTCTATTAGAGAAGAATATATAAAATTAAAACAAAGGGATTTAAAATTTGTGAATATTGGTAAAGATTATATCTAAATATTTGGAGACCTGATTAGATTTAATTCATTAATATAAATGATATACATAAAAATTTAATTTTATAGATGTTAATTAATAACAAGTATTATTTTCTCTTATTATCAAATTGCAAACAGATAAAAAAGATTTTAAATATTGAAAAATATTGTCATATTGAATATTATTGTACATATCATTATTCTTCTATGTAATCAATGAATAATTGAAATCATAAATATATTTTTAAATTGAAAAATTTTACTTGTATTAATTTTAATATTAACAATATTATAAACAAATATTAAGTAGTGATAGTAGTAGGGATCGAATGTGTTTTATAAATGTGTTTTATAAACTCTAGTCTTGTATTATAAAAGCAATTTGAATTAATATTTTGTTTACAATCTTTTATTAAAACTATATAATATTAACATTATATAACATAAGTATTTGAACATTTAGTGTTTGAAGAACTGTTTTAGTAATGCTTTATAAATAGTTAAAAAATAGATTTGACAAACGAATTTTTAATTACCTAATTTTTCAATAGAATATTTTGAAACTTTTATTTCTATTTTTTTTTTTTTTTTGTTTAAATTTCATTGTTATCAATAAATATAGCAAGTATATTATATTTTGCGAGACCATTGTTTTAGAGATATATATACATTGTAAATGTGAAAAATATAATATTTATATTTTGTCTCAATAAAGATTTTATTTATATTTTTTTCTTTATATAATTTTTTTAAAGATTAACATATATTGCAAAAAGAAATGATGAAAATGTGTGATTGATTTGTCGTTTATGATTACAAGTTAAAAATATAGATAAAGAAAGCAAATAGAGTCGCAAATGAAACATGTATGAAAAGGATAGAAATAAAATAAGAATTAACTATCAGCGCCATTTCGGAATATTTTTATAAAAATATTTTTTTTTAAAGATCATTAATCTTCAATCCTTATTTTGTTTTATCTTAAAAAAATATTGTTTCTACTCAAAAGATGGCACTATTGATCCATTCTTATTCTATCTCTATCCTTTTCCGACTATTTCTTGATATTTTATTCATATATGTTTCATTTGCACTCTGAAGATGGCACTGATTTCAATATTTTTACCATATCTTTTATTATATCTTTTGTCGCATCTTTTTTTATTATTTGTTCTTCTTGTTTATTATTCTACAAAATTTATAAATTTTAAAAATGACACTAATATTTGATTAAATTTATTTATTTTTTTTTGTTTAATTCATTGATTAAAAATTTTAACAGAGTTCATATTATTTTATATGATAAAAAAATATAAAGATTGTAAACCAAAGAAAAAATAAAAATATGAAATGTTTGCGATTCCTGTGATTTTAATAAAATGTTTTTATCTTTTATCAAGTTTTAATAAAATCATCAATGTTTCTTTGTTTGTATTGCATAAATATTAATATTTATATAAATAATATATATAAATATATTATTTTAATTTTAAATATATTTATTTTTAATATCATTATTTAAATTTATTTTTATAAAAAAATTATAAAAATTGATATTTTCATTGTAAAAAAAAATATAAACATAATTTTTAATTTATAAATAATTTAACATGTACATACTATTTATTCATAGCAATTAAAGATTTTTAATTACAATCCAATATCATATATATAATCTTGCTAATATTTATCAATTTTCTCAAAAATTATTTTCGAAATATATTAACTTTATGAAATTTTATGATTGAATTGAATATAATTTATTGCGTTTAAATCAAAGAAAACATATTAAAAAATTTTTTTTAAATTGATTTTTCAAAACATATGACACAAAATTCCATCAAATGCCATTTTGTACTTCATTTATAATTATAATTTTTTGAATATTATGAAGAAATAAAAATTAATTTCCGAAAAAAATATTATATATTTAAAAACATAATTATTAATATTATGGAAACAAAATTAATAAAAAATAAAAAAATAATTAAATGAGTAATTTTGGAAAAAAATGACTTTATTTAAATTATTTAAAATTATTTAAGAAAAAGAGATTAAATATTTAATTAACTAACAAACAAAGTAATAAATTAAGGAATTAGTGAAATGAATAATGTGTAAAATATAATTGGAATAATTGTAATGAATATAATATATCATTCTTAATTTTTCAAAGTATTGACTTATATCCTTATCTAATTCTATTTTTTTTATTTTCTTTTTACTATGTTCAAATTTAGCACAGATAATGCTTAATCGAATGTTTATATAATATGATAAAAGAGATGATTTGATATTCTACTGGTTAGTATTCGGGAAAACATTACGTGAAAAATCTTTATTGAAAATTCTATGAAAAATTACTTTTATCTGATTATTTTAAAAGTTTTTCAATATTTTAAACGATGGAAATTTTAATAACAGATATTGATGTAAAAGATATAAGATTTCCAACATCATTATTAGCAGACGGAAGTGATGCTATGGTATATAATGATTTAATTTTGTTTTTGGTGAAATAATTATTAAATATTATATAATTAATAGATCAAATCGAAAATTCATTATTAACATCAATTGCAAAATGATATTAAATTACAGCACACCGATCCTGATTATTCTTGTGCATATGTTACTATTAAAACGAACAAAGGAATTGAAGGATATGGATTAACATTTACCTTAGGCAGAGGTACAGAAATTGGTATGTATGTATATTTATTTATAAAATATTCAATTATCATTATTATAAAATAAAATTATATTACTAAAAATATTCAAATATATCCATAGTCGTACAAGCGTGTAAATCATTGTCTTATTTGGTAAAAGGAGAGAATGCCAATAATATTTTTACACACTTTGGAATTTTCTGGAGAAAATTGGCTAGTGAATCGCAATTAAGATGGGTAATACATACAATACTATAAATAAAGATATGACAGAATTATTTTTATAAAAATAATATTACATAAATATATAAGTATTATGGGAAATTTTTCAAATTAAAGACAATTAAAATACAATAGATTGGTCCAGAAAAGGGTGTTATTCATCTCGCAACAGCTGCTATAATAAATGCATTGTGGGATTTATGGGCTCGAATAGAAAAAAAACCAGTCTGGAAGCTGCTTACAGATTTGACTCCCGAACAATTAATTTCTACGATTGATTTCAGATATATGTAAATTTTACATGTTTTATTGAATGAAGATTATTTTAAAATAAATTGACCATTGAATTAATATTCGAAATAATTACTTTTTACAGTACTGATGTTATTACAAAAGAAGAAGCAATAAAATTATTGAAAGATAATCAAAAAGGTAAAGAAGAACGCGAAATAATATTACGAAAAAATGGATATCCGGCTTATACAACACAAGTGGGCTGGCTTGGATATAGTGATAGTAAAGTTAAGGAACTTTGTGCTAAATATTTAGCTCTTGGTTTCACATCTTTCAAAGCAAAAGTTGGCCAGAATTTAACAGACGACATAAGAAGATGTCAACTTATTCGCGACGCGATAGGGTATGAAAATAAATTAATGGTAGATGCTAATCAAATATGGGATATAAATGAAGCAATTGAATGGATGAAACAATTGATCAAATTTAACCAACTTGGATCGAAGAGCCAACGTCTCCGGATGACGTATTAGGACATGCAAAGATCGCGAACGAATTAAGACCACATGGTATTGGTGTTGCAACAGGTGAAATGTGCGCAAATCGCGTAATGTTTAAGCAACTGTTACAGGCAAGGGCAATTGATTATTGTCAAATCGATTCGGCTAGAATAGGAGGAATCAATGAAATATTATCTGTTTATTTGATGGCAAAAAAACTGAATGGTAACATAGATAAATAATAATTATTTTGTACATATTCTATCGTTCAAAATATTTTATTGTAAAACACTTTTTCGCATTAGTTCCAGTATGTCCACATGCTGGTGGAGTAGGTTTATGTGAAATGGTGCAACATCTTCAAATGTGGGATTTTATTTGTTTGAGTGCATCCACTGAAAATCGTGTGATAGAATATGTCGATCAACAACACGAGCATTTTGAACATCCTATACATATTCAAAATGCTTGTTACATGCCACCTACAAGTCCGGGATATTCCACCAAATTTAACGAGGATAGTATTAAAAATTATTCATATCCAAATGGAGAAAAATGGAAAAATATGTATAAAAAAGATTCATCAAATCTTGTACAAATCATATGATTAAAAAACATATAAAATCGAAATATATATATTTATATATATTAATTAAAATGTATATGATAATTTATGTTTTAATATAAATACATATTTGTAATATATCTCATAAAACAAATTAATTAAAGTTTGAACATTAAATTATAACAATGCTATTCACAAAGAACACAATTTTACTTTTTACCAAAAAAGATATCACAGTTACTGATCTTGATTTTAAGCTTACCTGATAAATAAAATTTTAATAGATATTATGGTTGATAAAATATTATATTATTACTTATTAACTTCAAGTTGAGACTTCATGTAATTAATCTGTAAAATATAATAATAAATATCATAAAATTAACATGAAATATATGCACTTATAAATATAATACAAAATTATAATATAATACAATATATGATATTATGTATTACTTATTATCTTGAAGTCGAGATTTCACATAATCAGTCTGTAAAATATAATAATAAATATCATTAATTTGAAGTAAATACACTTATAAAATTAAAAAATTCATTATACATACGCTTACAAACCAACATGAACCAGGTTCATATATAAATCTTTTATAAAATTTTATATTGGATATAGGAGAAATAATATGTAAATGTAAATGAGACACTGTATTAAATGGTGGCCAATGAAATCCTGTACGTGTAACTGCACGATCCAAACCTTGCTTTTGTAATATTATATCTATTGCGGCAAGCATTTTATCATCTAAAAGTTATTATTTTTTAAGTAATACAAGCAAAGCATAAAATTAAATTTTTTCTATCTAGCTAAACTTACAAAGCTCAATATGTTCTGGTTTAAGTTGTTTTGCATTGCGTATATGTTCTTTTGGCAATATTAAATAATGATGCGTTGAAACTGGATGAATGTCTTTAATACATATCACATAATTATCCTAAAATAAATTTGTAAATGAAATAATATAAAAAAATTATTTATTATTATATAATTATTTATATACTATTTCTTTTATAAGTATCAAAAATAAAATTTTCTGAGTTTCATCTGATGTTATGAGGTTATACATATATTTAATCATGTCATATTGTATTAATGATTAATTATTTCATACCTCGTATATTTTTTCGCTTGGTTCTTTGTTATTAATGATATCACAAAATATGCAACTTGTTCGAGACCCCATAACGACAAAATTGCATAAATAGCTAATGATAAACAAATATTCAAAATATGTTAAGAAAAGTTGATATAATTTTTTTTAACACATGTATAGATATTTAATCATATGAAATATGGAAATATTATAAATAACTTACTTATCTCTGTACATACATATTGCACATGTAAATATGTTATATGTGCATTACAATATGTATAATATATATATATATATATATTATAAGCATAATTATATATATATATTATAAGCATAATTTATAAGCAAATAAAATGTATATATATATATAATGTAATCCTGATATCTTGTGAGCAAGATAAAATTTATATTAACAAAATTGTTTATATTAACAAGATAATTATTAGATAAAAAAAAATTAGAAGCAAGAAAATATTTATTCCATTTATATTATTTTAAAATTTTTAATAAAAATCAAATGTTTTTTTTTTATTTCGAATTAATAAAAATAAATATTCGTGTAAATAGAATTATCAAATTATCATTATTGATAATTATATTAGATTATAATAATGATAATTATAAAAAATAAATAATAAAGTAATGGACAGTAAATATAAACATTTAGTTTGATATCGCATTACTTTTTAATTTAAAATATATAAACTGTACATATATTTTTTTATAAGTAGCATATATTTATATGTTTTTATATAATAATTGTGAGCATGACAAATTATTAATGGATGTAACACATTGTGTGGCAGTTTAGTCGAACAAGAAAAGTATCTTTGTCTTCAGAAATTGATTAAATTTCCGGAAACTTGATGTATCTTTCCCTTAATTCATATTTCTTTTTCCGTATTTCTAGGAAAATCCGAAAATACTTTTTACATTCAATATTCTCTATTCAGTTCTTAAAGTCATAAAATTTCATAAAATGTAAAGGGAGAAAAAAACAATAGAAAATATATGTACGATATTTCTGAAAATAAATTGTAAATGAGATGTAGCAGAATAATTTAATCGTACAACGATTTGAAAATTAGATATTTGTATTTAGTTTACTTTATATGAATGAGCAGAAAGATTTTTAATAAAATCTTTTTCTTATTTTTATCCATTGATATTTTTTCTTTCCTCAATTTTCTGTTTTATTAAAACGGATATTGTATATAACAAGGATTAATTGCGTGACAGATATTGAATAAAATTGAGTAATTTTTTTAAAAGAATGTGATCGATTAAAGAGACATAAAAATTACGGTAATTGCATAAAAATCGATTGAAACATCGAAGTTACTAATCGATTGTAGAATATTTAACATTCTCTCATATTGGCCCATTGTATCGGCAACTTACATGCTATGGTAGGTTTATCGGTATTATCCCGATACTGTACAACTTTTTTTTTATAAATAATTCTTATAAATTATAATTAAATTCTACGTGTCCGATTCGACGTAACAGTTATACAATGTACATAATATTTGCTTATGACGATCCATCTGTAATACTGCACACTCGTCAATATATTTTTCCTCCATCATCTGGTCACTCTTCGCGACATTATCATGTTTTCGGAACTAATTCACTTTTGTTCCGGTCTTTCGATTATCATCGTATTATTTCACAATCCCACAAGTCTTTGCTTCCGGCATTAAGTTGTTGAGAAGAATTTGTTCGCCAATCGTTTCTGTGATATAACACGCTTTTGGTCAATGACATTTATAGTCGTTCATATTGTTTGGCTTCGTTCAAAGAGCGAATATCGATTGCAAAATTGCAGTAAGGAATTCGAGGATTTAAAATTAACTTAAACCATTCTAATAAAGAGGCAAGTTTCAGCTGCCTTGATACGGCATTTGATCCGGTACGGCAGATGAATGATTTTGGCTTGGACTTTGATGGAAATGAGGACTGCTACCGTCTTGAGATATCTCACCAACTGTTGGTTCTTCGTATTTTCCTCTTTTAAAACGACCGTATAAAGAAGAATACGGTAGGTTATAATGAATTGCTGCTTGATTAATGCTCATGTGCCCTAACCTAAAAAATTACGAACAATTAAATGATATGTTTCTTTCTTTTAAAAATCACACACAATATCATGAGCAGTATGCGATATCATCACATATGTCTACTATATAAATAATTATATATTTGAAAAAAAATAGATGAAAAAGAAAAAATGGTCGATAAATAAATAAATACGAATAATTTTTACCTGACAGCTTCGAGAGCTTCGGTCATAGCATCTTCGCTCCATGGTGTAGGATTGCTCCTACTAAGTTCTATTCCTTCTCTTTTGCATCGACCATACAATGTTCCTGTCGGTATTCCAAATTCCGTGGAGGCTCTTTGCACAGACGTTTGACCGGAACGTATCGCTTCGAGGGCGCGATCGAGATCAGCGGGTGACCAGGTAGTAGGGCTGGCGTTGAAAGGTGCAGCCAATCTGATGCCTTCCCTTCTCGCGATTTTGTACAAGGTGCTCGATGGTATGCCAAACGCTTTTGAAGCTTTGTTCGCCGATATTGTGCCCGTTCGTAATGCATCAAGCGCATTGTTTAAACTCTCATCGCTCCATGATTTAGTAGGTCCATCCTTTTTTGGAGTATCGATGCCAAGCCGATGCGCTCTTTGCCACAAGGTCGTCGAAGGTATACCGAACGTTGCTAAAATGATCGCGAGACCACTGAATTAAATAGGAGAACGCTGAAAACAGACTAACCGTAGGCTCGAGTATATTAGCCGAGCGGAAAAAGATGTTGCGTGCTTTTGAATTACCAGAAGCTTTCGTAAGGCTCATATCATGATTTCTTAAGGCTTCCAGAGCGGCATCCATATCCTCTTGAGTCCATGATTTTGAGCCATGATGATGAGAGCTCGATTGTCCAGAATGCCCTCTTGAATTATTTTCGCCTGAATCCGAATGAACAGAACTTCCAGAGGGCATTAATCCAAGTAACTCTGGTGTGATCATCATCATATTATCACTATCAGCCGCGTTCTTTGAACTAACGCTCGCCCGATCCGACATGTGGCTATCGATATCGATCGTGTCCGACGAATCCATCGTATGCAACGTTTCGAATTTGATTTTTACACTGTCACAATTTTGAATGTCTGTAAACAGATTAAACGAAAAATACAATTCAAACAGTTGTTGATTCAAATAGTCGCGTAATATCGAATAGCGACATTAGCGAATAGGGACAATTAACTTTTCTAATTTTCGTCTATCCGAGTGCTGCAAACCAGATGGTGTTTTTATCACCGCCATAGCCTTCATCGAGATCACCGTGGACGACGTTGTTCGACGAAAGGAATGCCATCGAAGGCAAAGTTGGCTACGTACGTACTAAACGAGCTTGCGTGGGCTGTTATGAACCGAGCAACGTAAATCTAATCGCAACTAGTTAAGCCTGATTAGACCAATTATTTTGATTCCCTCCCTGTCTAATGACCGACTATGGTTTTAATCCCCTCCATACGATTTACACCGAGTTTACACGATTAAACAATAACACTGATACCTTGCCCGATCGTTATACCGATAAGAATAACGATAACAATCGTACAACCGAGTGTATGTATGACGCTATTCGATACAACTACTACAACCAACAACTGCACCTGTGGAATGATGATCTGGGTCTCTTAAATGGGTAATCGTAGTGCCTACCAACGTGGCACTTGGTGGTGTTGGTTGAGTTTCAGGTGGTAGGTCAACCTCACCGGGATCCGGATGATGGCCATAATGTCCGAGGCCTGTATGACAAAACATGTCACCTTTTTATTTAAAGTGAAAACGATCTGTCCTCTGTGTTGCTATAAATCGGTAAGTTGCCCCACACCTAAAATCCATCATACGATCGTTGTAAGTTGACGAAGAGAAATTAAGATGGGGGCGGGGAAGGGAGGGGGGGGAAGAGAGATATCTACAGTAGTTGATACATGCTGGT